GCCCCCCGCGAGCTTCGCGTCGGGCCGCAGCCCCGCTCGCCCCCGGCAGCAGCCGCCGGGGAGCCCCAGCTGCCCGGCTCCGGGCTCCTGCCGAGCCCCGCGGGCCCCTCTGTGCAGCCCCACACGCGCACGGCGCCGAGCCCTGGCGCGGGGCTGCCCCGTCGCTCCCGCACGCGGCCTTGGACGTTGCGGGCACCAAGCACCGCGCTCCACAGAGCGCCCCGCAACACCCTGGTCGGGATGGGTTCCTCCCTTGCACGAAGGCCACCGCCGCGGTGCCCCCTGCGCTGGCCACAGAGGTTTTTGTTTGTTTGGGGTTTTAATTTCCTGTTTGTCTGTAAAAGCAAAGGACTGAGGAGCTCGCCTGGCCTCCAGCAATGTGGGCAGGGTCTGCAGCCTCAATCTCCTGCACGCAGGAACCGTGACCCTGGCGCTCGCCCTGTGTGCGGCCGTGCGTTTTACAGCACCCTCSCCTGGTTCGCTCCAGGCCACGTCCGTGTTGTTCGGTGCAGCCATCTCCACACTGCACATTTCACTACATGCACAGTCTCCAGAAGAGCCCACGCAGAGCTCGAAGCTGCTCCTCGTGCAGCCTTGGCTCTGTTTCAGTGTCCCTGCACGCCTGGCACGACCCACTTTGGGTGAGGTTGTTTGCGTCCATTAGCAGGAAGTAGCGCGTTCATAACCAAGAATGACTACCGGCATGGATTTTAGGTTGGACTTTGTTATCTTCTAAKCCTTTGCTGTGGAGAGGGTGTTTCCTGATACAACTGAAGCAGGATCCTGGATTAGGAAAACTTTGGCCCTGCAACCACGAACACATCAGACACCTTGGCAGGGTGGAAGCTGTGGGGCAGCCTGAGGCCTCAGTCCTATTCACCCGCAAGCTCTGCTAGCTTCAAACTGGCCAATGAGACCAAATCCAGGCATGACTGAGAATGGACTTCCCAAATAAAACAGGATTGACTGCATCTAGGTCTACCGTGTTCTCTTATAACCGTCTGCTCTTGCTGCCTATTTCGATTTTTTCTGCTCTGTCTCCTCTTTTGGCCAGCTTTCAAATATGCTTTTTTTTTTTTTTTTTTTCCTCTAAACTTTTTCTTTTTTCTTCACTGGAAAACATCTCTTCTGTGAACCAAGACATGTCACTTACTTCACATTCAGAAAACAGACCAGACCTCTCCCCCTTACTCATCTACAGTTGTCATTCTGGTTAAACTACTGATGCTTCATCAACTTTAGCCCTGAAAATGCATTCCCCCATGCCTCTCCAGCCTCGCACCACTGGGCCTAGTAGGCACATATGAATGTAGTCATGGACCTAAAGTCCACTGGATGCGCAAGCCCACGGTACTTGCAGGAGCTCCAGCCCCTGATTGCTCTGTGCTTTGTATTTCCATGGTCTGCTGCCAGCTTAGGATCGCCGATTCATAACCTGAATTAAAGTGCTGTGTAGTTACAAGCTGTAACTTACTACAAGAGATGAACTTAATTATTTTCCTTGYGTCATTGGAAAGCTTTTCCTTATGGCCATCCAACTGGGAGCTCCCCAGTGCATTCACAACAGTAACAGCCAGATACAGGGATCCATTTTACCATTGCTTTGCATTGTTGTGTGGTATCCTCAATAAGTGTCAACTGACTTTTTCACTTGGTGCCTAGTAGGAACCACTTCCCTCTCCATAATATCCAGCCTTCTAGACAGAAAAGGCCTGTGGTTAATCTGACCAGTATAGATAAACTGGTTAATCTGACCAGGATATACAAGCCATAGAATTTCTTTCCAGCAGCTGGGTTGTTGTAAATTTGTGTGAAAGACAACATATCTTGTCTTAAGACTCCAAGTAATGGTGAGTGCCTCACCCTACCTACTAATTTATTTCAATGTTTAATTATCCTTACTGCTAGAAAATTGCTTCTTTCAAGGCTGAATTTATCTAACTTTAACATCAGAACTTGTTATGCCTTTGTCTACAAAACCAAACACCCATCCAATTTTCATGGGTAAGTAACTATACAGAGTGCTCATATCACTTCTCTTTACTTAACTGAATAGATTGTTTTCTTTGAAGTTTCACATTATCAAATTTGGTTTCTGATCCCTGCAGCATTTTTCAGACTCTTCCATTTTTCTACGTACACCATGGGCACCTGTGTGTACACACACGTGCAATGCACAGAAAAAAGTCACTTCCCTCTCTTTTCCTGGCATTACCCTTTCACATCTCTAAAAATTGAGCTAGACCTCCTTTAACTGGCAACATTGCACAAAGCGCTTGTGTGGAGGGTGTTACCACGCTGAATCCTTTTTCTGCATCTCCTTTTTCCTAGATGGCAACTGTGTCTTGGCAGTCATCAGTGATGTTCTTTCTTTTTCTCTACTATGGACTTTCAGTGAACTCTGTTAAAATACAATTCATAACATTGTGACAATTTAAGCAGCTGTTTGAGATCACTCATTCAATTTGGGAACTGTCCCTTCGTGGATGATAAATCGCCAAYGTAGATGCCTGAAAGAACAGGGCTAAAGCTAACCACACTATTAGTCTACCTTCTTTCTTCAAAGACCATTTTCTTCTCTTTTTTTTTTTTTCTTTGTCCTACTTTCAATGGATTGTTACATGTACGTGATTATGTCATTTTTTCCCCTTGCCAATTCCAGTTTGTATAGTTCAGCTCTGGGAGCCAGACTGAGTCAAAAGCTTTCTCTGAGTATAAAGCAGAAACAAATATCTTCTCCTGTTTTTGTGTTTTCTCCATATTTATTTATGAGGCACAGAGTAAATATGTGGTTAGTTATTTGTTTCTCAGGAAGGCATCTAGTTCAACATTCAACGATTAGCACGTTGTTGTTGTTGGGTAGATACCAAGTGCTTTACTCATGATGTTGCAGAAAAGTTTGCCTAGTACTGAGATTTCTCCGTAATGTCTTAGATGAAGGCATCACTCACGTTGGGGTGACTAGATCAGCCAGCAGAATCTCTATRGAAGATCCAGGTTGTAGGGTTATATGAAACTATATTCATACAGATAAGCAAATGAACATGAACACACTTAGATCCTGGAGAAACCCACACACAAACTCTTGAAGCTTGCAGTGCTCCTCCAACACAGAGGTGTCAGCTTTTGTTAAGTTTCTCTCTTAACAAATAACTGTTTTTGTCTCTTCAGCTCATTCCTGGGCAGCAGAGATCAAAGATGAGGTGACTGCAGAGCTGGCCTGCCCAAGGTACAAACGTAAGCAGCACTGAGCAGTTCAACACACCTTGGATAGCTGGAGGGCACTCCAGACAAGCAGCCAGCATCCTGTGTTGGGGCAGGACCTGGGAAAACACTGCTCATGCACTGCACTGATGGTCACCTGCAGACTTGAGGCAAGGAAGCAATCTTTCAGTCCCACTGCCCCAGCTATGAGGGCTATTAGGGGGCTAATGAGGTCCCTTGCTGGCAGTGTGTGGTGGCTGTTGGTTCTCTCCAACAGGTGCCATGTAAGGCTTCCTGTGGCCAAAGAAACCAAATCTGTGGTGATGATACAAGCYGTGGAACCACGTGTTGATGGTCTGTATCCTCCTGCTTCTTTCTGTGCTTCTGCCAGCACTGGGAAGAATGGAAGAGAAAATGACCTGCGTGCCTGAGTTCCTGATCATCTCAGCCAATTCACTAAAGTCCCTTTTGATTGTCTCAGGCTATACATTGCTGCTTCTTCTCATCCCACATATAGGACCATCAATGGATAATAGTTTCTGGGTTATATTTCAAAACTAGTACAACAAACTTCTTCATTTCCTATCCT